AAGCTGAAAGGCTACATCTTTTACCATGAAATACAGTTCTGTGTTAGAATACAGCACAATGGATAGAATTTAGAAAAGCAGATCACCAAAGATTTTTGATTCTGTAGAAAGAATAAATATTTGAACAATGCAAAATAGCAAAGCCATTGCACACAATTGCAGCATATATTGTATGATACGTACTTTGCACATAATGTTCTTACATTCTCTATTTCAGCTTTAAAGTGTATTAGGATTGTGTTTCTCTCTACACAGACTTTTCCTTTTGTATAAGAAGATCCCGGTTTAGCCTTTAGAGCAATTGCATGTCCTTTTATTTCATGGCTACATGAGGAAGCGATTTCATTTCCTTCTTTTACTAGAGTATTTCGTGTAAAGGAAATCATGTCAGCAGCTTTTTCAGGCTGTTTAGCCTTGGCCTGTATCCCTATAACATAAATAGCTGAAGTCTGATACAATTATTTTTCAGGTAATTGATGTTGTTAAGGTATTAGTATTTCTTTCCAGAAAGTAAGAATAACCTCAAGATATGCGATGTAAATCATACTGTCTCATCTCTTTACTTAGTATTAAAATTAAATTGTTTGCAATAAAAAGTACATTATCCTTTAGTACTGCACTAAATCATTTCTGACATATAACACATTCTTATTCAATGTTGCTAAGCAAATTATGCTCGCAAACTCACTGAATTATTTTGAGAATGTAAGATATGTTATAATTTAGGGAGGCCATTCAGTCTAATCAGTTTTGTTGGGATGTTAGCGGATAATTCATTACAAACATCTCAACATTTCTTGATGAAACTGGAGTACCACCTTCAACAATATGGCAGAACATATTGCTCCAGACTCCAATAACCCCTGTGTAAAGAAATGTATTTAAGTCTTAAGCACACGTTCACACAGTTCCTGCTTAATTTGCGTTTCATTGTTGATCCTGAAGAAGTCCACTGAGCTGATTTTATATCTGAGGATTCTGAATATTTGAATTGAGGATTCTGAATATTTGAAGTCTCTATTAAGGACTCTATTAAGTCTCTATTTAGGAATGAAGATCTTCATTTCTTTTAGTCCATAAGGGTAATGAACGTCCTTTAAGAGACCTGATCATTCTTCCAATTCTGGAGTAAGAACATCTTTTATATAACATGGCAACAAAAAAGTGTATGCAATCATGTAAATGAGCTCCTACAAATGCATTGTGCCATTATGACACTTTATTTAAAATCTACACTTTTTAACTACACATCATATTTTGTGTTGTTGATTGTGTCCACACATTACCTATAGCAGGAAAATGATGTGACAACCTTCTTCATAGGTAGTATCTTCAAAGCATTGTCTCTCAGGTTACATTTAAAATTTATAGTTTTTCTGCCTGTCTAAATTAAATGTTACCAGTTCCTTGCCTAGTCCTGAATATGAGATTCAGAGATATAGCATTCAAATATTTAAGTAATTCTATCAATTATATTAAGATGTATAAGAGTCTTTACATTTGTCTTGCTGTTTCTATAATTTGTTACATCTTTTATTTATGTGTCAGGAAAATATGACAAGTTTATAAATCACACTAGATTATTGGTAGAAATTAGGGAGATCAGTGGTACTCCACAAAACCCCAGTTTGAATATTCATCGCTTAACTGTACTCTCGGCTTTCTTTCCTTGAACAAGTATCTGCTTGGAAAGTCTATAACTTTCAACTTAAGCTTAATCTTTTAAGTGATTTTAAAATATATATATATCTTAGTATATGCCCTTCTATTCATTAGTGCTGTATGGTTTTCTAAACCTAAGCTAACTGTCCTCTAGAATTCTACTATTCTACAGAACATTCTCTAGTTTATCTTTCATTATCATTTACATAACTTTACGTTTTGATATTATATTACTAACAATTTTAAATTATCTTACTTTTGCTAAATTGGTATTCAAAAAAATCTTTCATTTCCTTCTAGGACTATAAGTAGGATAGCATCAGGACTTGGAGAAAGCTAGACTTTTCCAGAACTGCTTCTTCTGTGCTAATAATATTCTAATTAAGCTTTCTTTCCTCATCTTCACCTTTTCTTGACATGTTTTTTATTCATGGTACTCTTCCTTTATCTGGATTTTGTTTTTAATAGCTCTATTAAAGGGTGGCATTGTGGCACAGTGGCCAGTATTGCTGCTTTTTAAATTATTCTCTTAAAGCATTTGGCTCACTGCCTTCTAGACTTCTTGATTTAGTTTTGGAAATAATCTCTTTTGCAGAATGATATGTTTATTTAGCCTTATATATTTTCCCCAATATATCTGCACTGGTTAGCATTGCTGCCTCACAGCACTGGGGGCCTGGGTTCAACTCCAAGGATGCTATCTGCATGGAGTTTGTATGTTCTCCCCATGTTCACATGGATTTCCTCTAGATGCTTCCTCAGTTCCTAGATGCAGTTTCCTCCCGCAGTCCAAAGACATACTGGTAGATGTATTGGATTGGCAAAAATTAGCCTTGGTGTAAGTGTGTGTGCGTTTGTCTGTGTGTGTCCTGTAATGGACTGGCGTCATGTGCAGGGTTTATCTGGTAAAAGTGGCTAGAAAATGGATGAACAGAAGGACACCTCATTTCTTTTAATGAGAGACTCACCCAGCCTCTTGCAAATACCAGATTGACTCTATCTAATGCTACAGAAAGTGAGTGTAAAAATACATCAAGAGATTCCGTGACCCATAATTTGTCTTACAACTCAAGTAGTTCTTTTTTTCTATTACCACTAAGTATTTTCCATAATTATGTTTTAACAATGAATAATAAAATTATAAAACTATAAATATATACAAAAAGATATTTACAAAAACAATGAGTCCACTTTGTCCCCCACTATGCCCCTCATAAAGCAGGGTTTAAACCTAATCAATACATATGAAAAATGTATATATATATGCATATATACTGTATGTTAATATATTATTTTATATTCATATTTCTTGGATTGGATGTATCATTTATATTTGAGTTATTAAATTCAATTTACATTTCTAAATATAATTAAGTGAATCAAATATTACTTATTCTTCATTATTTCACATAATGATATTGATTTTTTATTTTTCCTATCTTCAAAAATCTCATTCTGATTCCTTATTCAATGTGTTGTCCATCCCATTTCGAAAACTTCACTTATTGTTTCACTCCACTTACTGATTTGTTGTGCTTGTGGTTTAAATTACGATATTGTTATCTGCTTTAATGCAGTTATTCGCAATATTCTAAAAATATATTTATTTCAGAAAACAACACCTGTGGCGTTCTTTCAAGAAGACGGTTCTCTGGGCATACATTTATACACAGCTGACATTTATAAATAGATGTAATAACTTTGAAAACTTCAACCCAGAATCTATTTAAAGTTTATTTTTCAGTACCTGAAAAATATATTTATATAAGTCTGATATTTTGGGGTGATTGTAATACCGTGGCATTTAATTTTATTTTACAACTCTGTAGTTGTAATTTAATTAAAAATGTAATAATAATCTATATTATTTTACCCCAAAGGCCCTCTATGCAATCAAAGAAAAAACAATAACCTAATTTTGCTCTCAATCAACACATGCTCTCAATTAATTAGCATTCAGTCTAAAATTCTGAACTTTTGTTCAGCCCGGTCCATCGCTGGGCACACAGACAAAACTCATGTACACACTTTTTAAAATCTACTGCATATACATTATTTTTCTAAAACTAAATATAAGTATGTATGCATAGACCAATGTGCTTTTCTGATGTACAGAATATTTCAAAGCTCCAACCTTTCATTTTAAGAATAATTAAATATGCGTTTTGCAATACAATTATTCATGCCTTATAATAATGCATTGTAGCAGTCATTTGTACATCAGCAGAGAGCCAAATACTTTGAAAGAAAAAGTAATTATTAAGAAAAATAAATGATGTTGTAGAAGTAGCATTCCATCCATTTTCTAACCTGCTTATCCAATGTAGGGAAGCTTGGTGGGGAAAGTTGAGTAGATGGGGCCTACCCCACCAAGCAATAGGATAAAGCAGGATACAGAATGGGATGCCAGTCCATCACAATTAACCTATCAATTTCAAACCTGTCATATATGGCACACAAAGCCCTTGGGAATGGTAGGAAATGGGATATACTGTACAGTATGGGACATAGTAGTGACAAAGATGGTGTGCCCTTATTGGCTGAGGCCTTCAGGCTCTGGCTAGTATCCATCCGCCTGCCCTGGGGACCTACAGTATAGAGTAGCCCTTAGCAAGAGTCCTTGTTCTCTTGAGTAAACTGTGGTGGTCTGCCTGCTGTTTGTGTAATCTGCCTGTTCAGCCACTTTTATTTTGTCAATTCAGTAAAAGGGTGAAACTGTACATAGACTGCGCCTTCTAAATTTTCTAGGTATCTTCAAAGGAAAACGCCAGCTTAGCGTCACAGGATTTTTTTATCTAGTATCTCTCTTTGGTAAAAGGGAAAAGCCCATCTCCATTAAGTAAATATTGATTTCAGATGGAGTTGCTTATTCCTAGAGTGTCGGAATGACGTTTGCATAAAACACAACTGTATGTATTTCCATGCTCAATAAAATATTTCAGTTTCTTTGGAAATGCAAATGTCCTTGATGCGCGTTTCAATGGCAACTGTCAACAACACACACCCGTAAATACATGTTTTCCACAGACCCCAGCTACTCTCGCCATTGCGCAACAAAATGCTGTTCATGTCAAATTCTAACTGCTGAAGCAGTGTCTGTGCTGAGGTTATGGGAAACACCATTACAAAGGGGTATTTTGTAGAAAATAATTAAACTTTACTCTTCTGAAACACCGACAATATATTTTATGTCAGTTCCGTGTACGTGTGTCCAGAAATGGCTATTTCATTCAGACACAAATAATGAGATTGCTCATGAGGTCGTTGTTGATCTTAGTCCCCCACTTTGCTGCGTTTTGGTAGAGTCCTTGGCTCTCCTATCACGTAACTGTTTCAAGGAAGCTGCAGTACTTTAACCTCCTCCATCACTTATGTTTACTTGCTTTGCAAGCACTGCCGGCAAGACTCTACGGAGTGTGTCAGATCTGATCTGACTTTAGGACTTTAACCCAGAACGGGGCTTTATCTTTCTGTCACGGTTTATTATCGGTCCTTTTCTCTTTCCCCGCGAAGCCAGGTAGCTTCTGCAAGGGCACTCTGTCCTGTTCCTTCATCTATTGACAGCTGTTAGCTAACCTTTAGGATGACATTAAAATCCAATAAAAACGAACCCGCTGCTGTATTTGAGCGTGTGAACAGCGTTCGGACAGCCCTCTCCGATCTGTACCTCGAGCAGCTGCTACAAAACAAGCCCAAGCCAGAGAAGGTAAGGATTTGATTCAATACAGTCATTCTTTAAAAATGTTCAGCCGTTTTAAACCAGTACAATCTCGTTACCGTTAGCTATAGAACATGCTTTAACTACTTCTTCTGTCAATACTAGTGTATGAAGAAAATCAATAATAGCTGTAAATACAGGGGACAGCTCCAGTACTGATGGATGGATAGACAGACAATATAGGAGGCTACAGTTTGAATTTGTTCACATCTGATACGTGATCTTCTCTGGTGGGGAACATTTCTTTATCTATTGTTTTCCTCGTAAAGTGAGTGTGTACTGACTGTGTACATAAAGGCTTTCAAACCTGGATCTGTGCAATATTACTTCACGTTATGTTCAGAAACTCCAAAACATCACCTATGAATTGTATATGTTTATGATTAATCATTATTAATGTCTGCACATTTTGTCTGTGTAGATGTCAAAGCCTTGTTAAGTGTGACTTGTTTGTTGTAAAGTATGTCAAGAAATGTATCACCATTTATACATGCATGTTTTAGAAAAAATAAAACTACTTCCTTTTGATATTTATTAAATTATTGTGAAATCATCTTGATTTGTTGTTCATTAATCAATAATTAACTATTTAACAACCTTATTAGTTAGAGAGTTGATTGGGCACACATGTTGGAAGTTGATGGTGATTTATCTCATTGAATACAGTAAAACTTAAGAAAGAAAAACACAAAAAGGAACCAATCCTTATCAAGTGAAAATCAACTCCTTCCACCATGTGTATATTGAAAAGTAGACTAAGTCAGAACACTTTTGTTTACCATCGGAGGTATTCACAGTTAGCCATTTCTCACCTGGTAACACCCAAACACCGTCCTTCGACAATGGGCCACAATCTTGGAGACCATGAATTATGAAACCTTGCTGAAACTGACACATCACCACTGTGAGGTTGGTCACAATATGTGCGCCAGCTTTTCAAGTGTGAGAAGACAGCAAGACATCATTTGGGGCCAGCAGGGGGTGCCCACCCTGTGGTTCATGTGGGTCCTAATGCCCCAGTATAGTGACGGGGACACTATACTGTAAATAGGCGCATTCCTTCGGATGAGATGTAAAACCGAGGTCCTGACTCTCTGTGGTCATTAAAAATCCCAGGTCGTTTCTCGAAAAGGGTAGGGGTGTAAGTCCAGAAAAGCGCTATATAAGTGTAAGCAATTATTATTATTATTGTTATTATTATTATTATTATTATTATTATTATTATTATTATTATTATTATCATCATTTGCGGTGTTCACCTGTTTTCATCAACACAGCAGAATTAGGTGGTGTTAGCAACACCTCAAGTAGTCTTGCCAGCAGCAGAGCCTTGGTATTGATCGATCAAAGTTGCGTGTAGCCCACTCTAATGGATGCCAGTTATTGTCATGTGGTGTAGACTCACAGAATAATGCAGTCAATGTTCTGTATAGTTGATTGGGAGTCACCAGAGAACTCTATTTGTGATTGATGGCAACTACATGTCCATGGACCCTTGCTGCCCTTCCGGTGATCTCATCTAAATATGTCAAATATCCAGCAGCACAAGGCATCTCCTTCAAGCTGCTTGTGTTAAAACAACTTTTTATGAAGTGAGAATTTAACGGATATGCCACGGATGTCCGTGTCCCTGTCCGTGTCCATGTCCATGTCTGCTTGCCAGACTTGAAGCCCCGTTGAATATATGTGGAAAGAGCTGCGGTGACGTGGCTTCTAGGGCTCAGAGACCAGTGAAAAGCCACATGCTTGTCCAGGCAAGAAGTATGAAGCAGAATCTTACAAGATGGAATCTGCAACCTAATCAAAGCATTTATTGTATATGTTCAGCATGTATTGTTTCCAGCACTGCTCACACAAGGTTCTGCTTTGTGACTTTCACAGTAAATGCCCTGTTGACCCTGCTGATCACATAATTTCTTTTGATGTTAAGGATTTATTTTGAAGAAAACTATAATTCTGAGATTCTTTGACATTGCAGCTCATGAGCGTCTACTGTAAAATTAGACCAATTAAAAAGGTAAACCTAAATACTTAATCTGTGATGCTGGGCTTTTTGGGGATAATGTCTTGGCTCACACAGTCTAATACTTTTCTTTTATTCTTTCTTCTTATCAACTGTCAGATGTTGAGGTGCTTGTGTTATTTTTTCTTGGGGTTCATGTAGGACGAACAACTAGCTGTTGAACAAAAGAACAAAGTTTACAGCAGCATTGCTACTTAAAATATTGCCTGTCAAGGAAAAAAAATATATACAGTAGCCAGTTTCAACACGTTTGCCTCAGCTGATTCCTTTGTGAAATAGTGGGTGATTAAATTCCATTCTTGTTGAGAAATCCATCTGCACATGAACTACATCAGTGATTAGTAAGCAGATTTCTACACACTCTTATAAAAGAAAGTAACTCTGTGAATATGCATGGCACTGATACAACTTCTTATAGTTGCCCAAATTGTTTTTAGACCCTAGTTTCTATGTTGTATCCCATTTTCCACAGACATAACGTTAGCACCATTAATATTTTGGATATTACCAACCGTAAGTGCTGATTATTGTAATCAGTTCCATGCCAGTTTAGCCTCTTACCTTATATTCTAGGTGAATAAAAACTTGATGAATCGTTGTTTTGGCTACTTGAATAGTCTATCATCCCCTTTCTTTTTGAGGGTTAAAAACTGTCAGGGACTTTTCTCAAATAGTAGGAATACAAAGTACTGTTTCAACCTAATGCATGGCTTATATTACACATTCATGCTTTCATATTGGTTTTATATGATCTATTTTCTCAATGTCTATTCATGTCTTAATTTCCAGTAAGAAAAAGATGAGTTCAAGGTATACTTTTACCAATGGCTAATGTGGAAACTGTACAAGAGTTTGTACTTGTGTGCCATTTAGGAGGTGAAGTAATCTATTTTTACTTTCAACCAGCTGTTGAAATGTAAACACACTTTAAGTACTGTCGCTTATCTGCAAAGTAAGCATTTCAGAGATTTTAGTATCACTCCATTTTACCCTGTTTATCATCCATTACACTTCTTCTGCCATTTTTAAATGATAATGAGACTTGAGGTTCAAAAATCAATTCTGTCTCTGCAGTTTAAATTCCAGCTATATCAGTGTTTGAGGCTTAAACTCAGTACAGCAAATACTCAAAACTGATTAAAAAATAAAAAAGATAAAGAAATCTTTATCTGTGTGTATTTATGATGACAATTATTTGTTTCAAAGTCCTTACTTTTAGTTTCAAATACCTGAGTGAGACAATATATTTTTTTGTACATTTCAAAGGGATATCTCCATCAACCAATGCAAAGTGCAGTTGTTTTCACATAGCATCCTGTAACAGTTTGAGAGCTTTTCCTATAAAGAATGTCAGTTTAAAATGTATCCTTTGATTTAACCAGTTCTTTGAAAAGCTGTTCATTAAGTGAGGTGTTTAGACATATTAAATCTGTATTTGACTACAATGTGCTTGGTCCAGGTGAACACATTGAAACTTATAGTCTCATCTTATTTCATATGACCTTCTGAAGGGAAGTAAGACATTTTCTAGGGAAACAACATCTACTTCCCAGCAACTGTTTCTAAATATCACATTTTAGTTTTGGTTATATATAATAAATCTCATGGATGTGGGAATACAAATTGTGTAAAATATCTTTCTGTCAAACAATATTTTCTCATGTTTTTTTCTCAATATTTTCAGTACTGTACTTAGTACAGTTCATTAAAGTAATTGAATTTAAACTCTCCGAACAATGGCCATAAAATTAGCTTTTGTACACACTTTCCCCCTGAATGAATGTTCAACAATTTACAGTACTTGTCATGACAAACTTACCGCACTCAGTGCTTCGCTGGACTGTTCTGAATGGGTTGAGAAATGGGAACCACAGTAGGACACAATGTTCTTGTCTAAAAAGAGAAAGGGAGAGGATGTGTTCAGCCTTGTTGGCACCTAAGTGTGTAAACTATCTTTTAAAGGAATATGGGTGATGTATTACCTGGCACATCAGTCACTATATTAAATTTCCTAGAATATGTATTTATTGCAGGCCTCTGTAAGTGTGCCCAACCATTCCTGATAACATAGTGAGCCTCCTCTCCCCTTTTCACAATCAGAACAGCTCAGAGACATATGTTTATCTCTTCCAGCATGTAATTGCTGAAACTCAATCAGTACTTTTACAAATGAGAGGATGAATTCTCAACCATTTGTGTCTTAAAACACTCTAATTTTGTACTTCTTAGTATTTCAGTGAGAACATTTATGTACTTTGAAGCCTTGTGCTAGAAGGACTTGGCAAAACATGTTTCAAGCAGAAAATATATGACCTTTTTTTGCTGTGTTCTTTGAAAAAGTGTTAGAGGGATTCCGTAGTGTCAGTTTATTTTTGTTATTGTGTTATGGATTGCAGAATCGGCCTGCTCTGTGCACTGAGTCATGTCATAAAGCAGAACAGTCATAGAGGCCAAGACTGCAGCCGTGTCTAGTATTAGCAGGTTTGCCTCAACAAGTTTTTAAACCTCTTAGCTGTAAAAACTGCATTTGTCCTGAATACAGTTGAGAGACAGTTCTATAACTTGCTATTCAATATAGGTTCTGGAATCCTGAAGTTATCCTATTATAAAGCTTATTTTTGTAGTTATTTATGTACAGTGACCTCTTGCTTTCTACCTAGATACAGAACATTTGTTAAAAAAGGGGGATGCAATACCTCTTTGAAACACATACAATACAGGATACTCAAAAGATCCTTCCATCTGATTACAGAATTTCAAGATAGTACATTGGTAGTGGATGGTTATTACAAGACATGAGTATTTTTGTTTTGCTTTATGCAATGTGGTTTTTACTGAATTATTAATGGGACATGGATAGGTCCCCTGGGATCCTCGAGAGTGCTCACACAAATTAATACACTCTTAACAATGCTCCATACTTTAAGCACTGTGGTAGGAGAGTAAACATATCTGGAGTGGCTGGAATATAGTATGAGTTAAATTAAGACTAGCAATAGCTCTTAATCTTTAAAAGGTAACGAACAATGTGCTCCTGCTTTCCTGTTCTCCAGCTTTCCTCAGATATCTCATTTCATCTGGGTGGCATATGCTATTATATGTATCCAGACTTCTTTTTCTTTGATTTGTCTTCCAGAACAAAGCATTCCAGCAAAAGCAGTTTCTGAAAGTCATAAAAGTTCATTTATATGGATTTTACAATCAAAATAGTATCTGAAAAAGTTTTTTTTTAATCAATAGCTTTGAAAAAATTCACAGAGAAATAATGAAGTGAAACACTGTGTTGGCTTAGTAAATTTATGCTATCCAAGTGGGCTTTTTGGATTTAATGAAAGTTTGTTGCTGTTTACACGACAAATGTTTCTGTAATTTAAGCAGAAATAAAACATAAAATCAGGAATCAAAATAACACAAAAGTTATTTTGTTATTATGTTGAATGTTTAACAAAAAAAAGTGTCCATCATACCTTTCTCAACCTTTTTTTTATCCCTTTCTTTAATATAATTCCCTCTTGTTTGTTATCCTAAGAAACCTTCAGCAGTTAAAAAACATCTATGGAAGATTTTCTTTCTGCTGTGACTGAACAAGTCAGCAGTTTACATGAAACAGGAAGTTTAAACCAAAGCTGTTAACGACAGGACAGCTGCAAACCACCAAAGTAATCCACGCCAGCAGTCTTGCCCTTTTTTCATGTGACGCATAGCTTAATGAAATTCAGAAACAGGAATTAAACACAGATTTAGAACCACATGTTCTGATGCTTCTGCACAGTACGTCATAGAAACTGAATCTCTCACCCCTTAACTGTCAACACAGAGGAACAAATACCTATTGCCTTGTAGTTCTGTTTCTGAGGTCTTCTCGCAAAATGATTGCAACCCTCTGAAGGAAAACGGAAAAGTTTTACTTTATCATGTTTAAATAATCTGTTCAGCCATTTTCAGTAGC